ACCTATGGCTCAAGGAGTAGGGCGCCAGCCCCATACACTGGAGGTGGTGGGTTCAAACCCAGCCCTAGCTAAAAAAAACCCACATATATACATATGTGTGTGTGTGTGTGTGTGTGTGTATACATATATGAGAAAACAGGATGGCACCTATGGCTCAAGGAGTAGGGCGCCAGCCCAATATACTGGAGGTGGCGGGTTCCAACCCAGCCCCGGCCAAAACCTGCAAAAAAAAGAAAAAGAGAGAGAAAACATAGGCACAGAAAAAGGAAGTGACTTGTCCAGGTCACTCAGTTTATAGGGAGCTGGGTTTTTGTAACCCCAGAGCACAGCCTCTTACCTGTATGGGATGCCTCCCTCTCAAATCCTAACAGCTGGCCCCAGTATAGAACAGAAACCCCCTGCAGAGCGGGCTTAGTGAGTCTGGCATCTATGGGACAGCAAGTGTGGGCCCACCTGAAGTCTCAGGATTATTTGTTATTATCACATACATGTCTTAAGGGACCCCCTGAGTAGTTGACTGTGACAAGCTGTTACAAGCAGGTCACAGGCCTTCCTCCTGGGACCCTCAGAGGTGAGGGCTCACCCAGGGTTTCCTCCCCTTCCCACCTTGTGTCCTCTAGGCCTTTGGAGCAGCAGGACTGAGCAGCGACTACCCCCTGTCTCATTTCTTTGCCTGGGCCCGTGCACTGCGCTTTGCTGATGGTCCTGACGAAGTGCACCAGGCAACAGTGGCCAAGATGGAGCTAAAGCACCGCACTTAAACCTTTGGGACTGTGTGGGCTGGATGTCCCAGCTGTGCCGGCCACTCCCAGAGCCGAAACCATAACTGCTTTGAGAGGTCTGCTGTGTGGGAGTTTCGAACCCTGCCCAGCATCTCTACCCTGGAACAACTGGGATGAACTCAGCCTTTTCAGGTCACCATGGAACAGTGGTTCTCAAACTTCCTAATGCCCCGGCCCTTTAATACAGTTCCTGTGGGTCGTGACCCACAGGTTAAGAACTGCTGCCATAGAAGATGTTTCTATGAGAAGCAGTGTTTGTATTTCCGGTGAGAGAGGGGATTAGCTGCAAGCTGAGCAGGTTTTGGGACGGAGCCTGAAAAGCAGGTCTTTGAGCTCTTGGTGCAGGGCTGGGCAGCCCGAGTTCCCCTCTCTCTCTAGCTGTGAGAATGTGGACACACCTTAGGGGACCTGCCAAGGCCACCCCTGCTGTGGAAGCGGTGCCAGAGTGCTCCTAGGAAAACAGAATGAAACCAAACTTGTGATGCCAGTAGCATCTGATTTCCTTCATTTGATTGTCTGTCACACAGAATATTAATTTAAATGTTATTTTGGAAAGTGGCTCTGGGGACATAAAAGAATAAGAAAACAAATCTCAGAGACTCTGTAGCCTTTCTGTGTCATACAAAAGGAACCAAGCTTAGAAGTTCTACCTCAGCCCCTCCATCTCAGTACATCAGTTGCCACCTTCCCTCCTCATACTTGTGTTCCAGAATCCTGGCCACTTCCTCTGTCCCTTACCCATGTGGGGTGTGGATGCCATGAGCCCTGCCAGGTCCTAAATCAGCCACCTTCTGTCACCAAGTTCTGTACTCTGTGCTCAGAGAAATGTCCCCAAAGGAGCTGTGGTGAGATATGTGTGAGGCCCCTGCAGTTTCCATACTCCCTGTCTGCCCTATGCTGTCAGAGTATTGGGGGGCAGGGCAGGGGGTGGGCAGTATACGAGCACAATTTAGAGAACAGTATGCCTTTTTCTGAGGAGAGTAGAAATCCTTGAGTAAATGGTGCCCTGTGAGCCCAGGTGGCATGGACAGATAAACTGTCAACACTTAGGATCAGTCTGCTAATCTAACTCGTGGTGATGGGGCCAAGGCCCATTTCAGGTCAGACAATCCCCCTCACCTGCTGTGTTGGAGGTGACCTCATAAGAACTACTTCCCTGAGAGTACTCCTTACAGCAGGAGGGCCCACATCCCTGCTACAAAGTCACAGGGGCCTTGTGAATAGGCTCCTCAGATGTGCTTTCCCCAAGCTTGCCCTCCTCCCCCACACTTGAGAAACTGCTTGTTGCTCAAAGAAGGTAAATTAATATCAAATCTTAGCCCAGCCTGGTGGCTCATGCTTGTAATCCTAACACTATAGGAGGAAGAGGTGGGTGGATCCCTTGAGTTCAGGAGTTCGAGATCAACCTGAGCAAGAGCAAGACTCCATCTCTAACAAACAGGCATTGTGGTGGGCACCTGTAGTCCTAGCTACTTGGGAGGCTGAGGCGGGAGGATGTCTTGAGCCCAAAAAATTGAGGTTGCTGTGAGCTATGATGGTGCCACAGCACTCTACCAAGGGCAACAGAGTGAGACTCTGTCTGAAAAAAATAGAATAAATAAAATTTCGAACTTATTGCTATCAATGCCAGCCACACTGGCAAGGAATGTTCTGCAAACTCTGGTAAGATTCTAGCAGCCTGAGTTCTGCTTTGAACCTGAGGAGGGAGGTAGGTTTTTTTTTTTTTTTAGAAAAGGCAGTGATGTGGCTTAGTGTATCACACAACCCTATGAATTTCTTTTGTGGCCTCCAAGGTTAGCCTTGCATGTTCAGTAGTGCAGCTGCAGAGATGAAAATAGGTGCTGTGCTGTGGGTGACGTGGGTCATTCTCAGGTCTTCTGCCTCAAGGGCTGGAGCCACTTGAGGTACCAGGAATGCAGCCTACAGAATTGTGAGTCCTGGCAGCCCCTAAGTCAGACCCTGCAGTTCTGCTAGGTCAGCAGTCTTCAACCTTTTTGGCACAAGTTTCGTGGAAGACAATTTTTCCACCAGTGGGGATAGTGGTGGTTTGGGGATGATTCAAGCACATTACGTTTATTGTGCACTTTATTTCTATTATTATTACACTGTAATATATAATTAATTAATTATACAGCTCACCATAATGCAGAATCAGTGGGAGCCCCGAGCTTGTTTCCTGCAACTAGATGTTTCCATCTGGGAGCGATGGGAAACAGTGACAGATACCCCCAGAGTGTGTTACTTATGTCTTTAGCTCCACCTCAGATCATCATGAGTTAGAGTCTCATAAGGAGAGCACAACCTAGATCCCTCTCATGTGCCATTTACAGTAGAGTTTATACTCCTGTAAGAATCTATTTTTTTTTCTTTTCCATTGGTTGTGATTCTTCCAAGCAATCCTATGAGATCTTATTACCGCTTACCTGACAGGAAGTGGAGCTCAGGCAGTGACACAAGCAATGGAGAGCGTCTGTAAATACAGATGAAGTGTCACTCACTGACCTACCTCTCACCTCATGCTGTGTGGTCAGATTCCTAACAGGCCACAGACTGGTCTGGTCTGTGGCCTGATGTTTGGGGACCATAGTGCTAGATGATTCTGTTCACCACTGTGGACTGAGCCCCATCTCTGACCCAGGCAATGGTCTAGCTCTGAAGGACTATGCCAGTGAACAAAACAGGTAGAGTTGACACTGAGGGGATGGGAGCTGGGGCCTCAGGGAGGACTCTTTCCAGAAAAGGCATCTGAGCCAGGACCTGAGCAAGAAGAAGAAAGGGTGAGGGTACTTCCGGGAGGAGTGGCCAACAGAAGCCCTGGGGAGTGGTCCAGTAACATGCAGCACGTGCCTCCTGTTCACATGGCTGGAGCCAGGAGCAAGCTGAGGAAGGGGAGATTCTGCTCAGGTTGGGGTACAGGCCTGTGGGGGCCTCAGGAAGGTTGAGGACCCGCTCAAACCAGCTTACATAGCCAAGTTTCTCAAATTTTAACAGGAAAGGAATGCCACTGGAGAGTGAGTATAATCCAGTTGTTTCAGTACATAGCCTTTCTTTCTTTTTTTTTTTTTCTTTTGAGACAGAGCCTCAAGCTATCCCCTGGTAGAGTGCTGTGGTATCACAGCTCACAGCAACCTCCAACTCCTGGGCTCAAGTGAGTCTCCTGCCTCAGCTTCCCAAGTAGCTGGGACCACAGGTGCCTGCCAAAATGCCCGGCTATTTTTTGGTTGCAGCCATCATTGTTGTTTGGCCGGCCTGGGCTGGATTCGAACCCGCCACCTTAGGTATATGTGGCTGGCGCCTTAGCCACTTGAGCCACAGGCGCCAAGCCACATATGCCTTTCAAACGTGCTTGTAGCCTGTAGTCCCAGCTACTTGGGCCACTGAGGCAAGAGAATCACTTAAGCCCAGGAGCTGGAGGTTGCTATGAGCTGTGATGCCATGGCACTCTACCGAGGGTGACAAAGTAAGACTCAGTCTCAAAAAAAAAAAAAAAAAGTACTTACAGGCGGTGCTACTTGTTTTGTGACCCATTTTGAGAAGCCAAGGTGGTCTATGGCCATGCCACCCTGAACGCGCCCGATTTTGTCTGATCTCAGAAGCTAAGCAGGGTTGGGCCTGGTTAGTACTTGGATGGGAGTACAAGGTGAGGAGAATGGCTAGACTTCCCTCACCAGGGGGACGGGGGTGTGTGTGTGTGAGATGTACCTGGATAGAACTACAAGAGCCACTAGGTGTTTCATTTATACCAGATGCCAAGAACTGCCCATATATGTATTACTTTGAACCCTTATAACAATTGGCAGTTGCTTTTTTTGTGCCCCTTTTAGAGATGAGGACATTGATGTTCAAAGAGGTTGCTAACTTGCATAAGATCACATAGTGATCAGTGCACCCAAACCTAAATTCAGAAGATTCCAGAGCTCTTTCTGCTCTGTAGCATGAAATTTTAAGATCTTTAAGGGGGTTCCTGAGAGGTGCTGGCTGCCTCTCCTGCGAAAGTAGGAGGAAAGACAGTATGCTTTACCATAAAGAAGGTTTATGAGTTTCTCCTGATGGTACTAGAATAATCTTGGGATTCCCCCCTGACTACTCATCGGGGGTCAGGCCCCATGAAGGTGTGTCTGCCATGTGGGTCTGGCTGCATGCAGGGAGTATGCACCAGCTCTATGTGTGTGTGTGTGTATGTGTAGACAAGGCAGGCAGCTAACCACATTTTTCCTCCTACTTGAGAGGGCAAATAACATTTCCCTGTTTAAATGTTGGTTGGGGGGCGGTGCCTGTGACTCAAAGGAATAGGGCGCCGGCCCCATATGCCAGAGGTGAGCTCAAGCAATCCACCTGCCTTGGTCTCCCAGAATGCTAGGAATACAGGAGTGAGCCCCAATGCCCACCCAGGTATTATGGTTTTTAGAGAGTAGGTGGAACTAGATTATTTTTCAAACTAAAAAATACAACTTTTTTTTTTTTTTTTGAGACAGAGCCTTAAGCTGTCCCCCTGGGTAGAGTGCCGTGGCATTACAGCTCACAGCAACCTCCAACTCCTGGGCTCAAGCGAGTCTCCTGCCTCCGCCTCCCAAGTAGCTGGGACCACAGGCGCCCACCACAACGCCCGGCTATTTTTTGGTTGCAGCCGTCATTGTTGTTTTGGCGGGTCCGGGCTGGGGATTCGAACCCGCCACCTTAGGTGTACGTGGCTGGCGCCTTAGCCGGTTGAGCTATAGGCGCTGAGCCGAAAATACACAATTAATTGAGTCCTAACAATGAAATGTTTCAGGAGCATTTCAAAGCTAAGAACATGTACATTTTAGAGAAAACTGAAGTGTCTTGGGATGTTTGTCCCAAAGATTTCAGCACTCTGAAGGTGTTTGTGCTTTTGCTAGCTCTATCCCTAGCAATGAGTCCATAGAATGAGGGGTAATGAAGAACAAGAGGGAAAGTGTACTTAGAGAAAAGGAGATTTTTATTAGAACAAAGACTGGCTCAAAAGTGAGAAAACATGGAAGAAAAGAGCCCATACAGATTGTCAGGGCAAAATCTAGGTTGAGGGATTTTAGATAATGCTTTGGAAAGACTGAGCCACATAGAGCCATAATTATCTTAGGGTTTCAGCACATCCACAAGTTCTTGGTCTGAAGTATTTGGTTGACTTTGAACTGAAGCCTGGGCATGGTGGCTCACATCTGTAATCCCAGCACTTTGGAAGCCAAGGTGGGAGGATCAGTTGAGGCCAGGAGTTCAAGACCAGCCTGGGCAACACAGTATGACCCTGTCTCTACAAAAACAAAATTTTAAAAATTAGGTGTGGTGGTATACCTATAGTCCCAATTTCTCAGGAGGCTGAGGCAGGAGGATCCCTTGAGCCCAGGGGTTTGAAGTTGCAGTGAGCTATGATTTTGCTACTGAACTCTAGCCTGGGTGGCAGAGCAAGACCCTGTTTATTTAAAAAAGTGGCAGAAAATATAGACAAAATGTTAATCGCCCCCTTTTCTTTCTCTCTCCAGTCCAACAGAAAAGTGAGCAAGTTTCATAGTTCATAGCACAGATGACTTCATCTAGGCAAAGATGCTTAAACTCAGTCATAAGAAGAAAAATGCAAATTAATGTGGTAGTGAAATGCTATTTTTCACCTATCAGATCAGCATGGTTAAAAAAAATTCTATCCGTGAGGGTGTAAGGAAACTTAGTTGTGACAGGAGATGTACATGAATCAAACTTTAGAGGGTTATATAGGAATATCTATATTTAAATTATAAATATCCTTTGACCTAGTGATTCCATTTCTATTAATCTCTCAGGTAAGTCAATGATATATATTGCAGCATCATTTGTAATGGCAAAGAAGTATTGGGAACAACCTAAATGTCCATTCAAAGGAAGTTCATAAAAATGGTCCATGTATCCAGTGGAATGCCATGAAGCTGGTAAAAAGAATGGGGATGTGTTCCCTCCATCCACATTGCTAAGTGAAAAAGGCAAGTGCCTTTGGGATGGGAAAGTGGGGATTGGGTGGCTAAATTTGCAGAAAGTTGAGAGCCTCCCTCCCTTTTCAGATTTTCCCTGCAGCTGCTCTCCAAAGCTATTTTCCTCTCTTCCTGGAAGTTCCCATCTGAAGAGAATTTCAGAAATCTCCACCTATGAGATATGAGCTGGAACTTTATTGTGGTTGGTCACCAGAATGTTGGGGCAGGACTCTTAACAGAAACGCTGTTACAATGTCTTTTTGATATCATATTAATTCTTCAACACAAAGCAACTCAAACTCATACACTGTTGGTCTCCTTTGGCCCTGCCATGGACACTTTTGCTTGGTACTTTTCAATTGGGCCTTGGCCAACTTCTGCCTCAGCCCCAGGGGCTCCAGCCACAGACCGCTCCCTGCACACCTGTTGCTTAGATGGGCCCCTTTCATCCAATTTCCTGCTGTCAAAACACACTTCTTTGGACACAGCTCAGCTCCTCTGGGTTTTGCTGACATTAATCTGGTTGAAATGCACACATGTGATGAGTTATCTATTCCCTTCCCACCTAATCCCCTTTTATTTCTTCTTGTGTCTTCAGTGTCCAGCTCGGGATGTCCCCAGAATAAATGACTTCGCAAAATCTTTACTTCCACCACTGCTCTCTGCTCATGCATTGTCCTGAGATGAGTTTAAGAAGAAAATAAAACGAGACACCCCATTCTAAACTCCACTGAAGATCCTGCCTGCCCTGACCCTTCCCACCTGTCACCTCACCTCCCAAAGCCACTCGTTTGTTCACTGAGTTCCATTCTTTTCATTTCTCTAATGTGTGCCTGCGTGGTGCCATCTCCTGACCTTTGCACTTGCTGTCTCCTCCCCCTGGGATGCTCGTCCCAAGACCTTTACAGACAAGCTCTACCCGTCTCTTCACCCTGCTCACTTCCTTGGCTTTATAGTTGTTTGAGACGACCGGGCGTCTCCGTCATGGGGAACCGCGTGTCTCTCCGCGGATGAGAGAGCTGCATTCGCTAGATGGGGTCTTGCCGAAGGGCGGCGGTGGAGAGGCTCCCACCGCAGACTGCTAACCCGGGTCGGATGTGGTGGGCACGCCCCTCGCCCCGCCCCGCGCCTGCTCATTGGCGGCCGCGCGGGGTGGGGAGGGTGGAGCGAGGCGGTGGCGCAGTAGTCCCAGCTGCCGCGAGGCACAGGCTTCGTCCCTCTGCTGGTGTCTGCGTTGCTCGTGTCTGTACTGCCCGCTTCGCTACAGCATGTTGCGCGCCGCAGCCAGCCTCGGGCCCCGTCTGGGCCGCCGCCTCCTGTCGGCCGCCGCCACCCAGGCGGTGCCTGCCCCGAACCAGCAGCCCGAGGTTTTCTACAACCAGGTGAGATGCCCGGCCCGCGCTTTGTTCTCTGGCCCGAGACTCTGCAGTCTCCGCGCCGCCATGGGCCTCAGTTTACCCATTTGGGGCTCGAGGGTTTTGCTGTGCTTAGTCTTTACGCACTCTTTCCGCTTCCCGGCCTGCGGTCATTTTAGCCCCTTCTCTGCCTCTGACAGCCCTCATCCCTTTATATCCCTGTGACCCCGTCTTCGTCCAGCCTCGCTCGGTTTTCCAGCGTCCTCCCCAACACGGGTCCTTGCCTTTGGGGCCTCTTGGTCGCCACAGGGTCTCCGGTATCACCCACCCAGAAGACGTGTCCAAGTCCCTCTTTGCAGGAACTTTTACGTTTTCCTTGGTCATCTGTTTCCCCCTGACTCATTCCCTCGTCCAAGGAGTTCAGAAGGAAAAAGGAAAAGGCAGAGATAATTTCCAGCTGGTGTGCACCAGTTCACTAAGGCAGAGGCCAAGGCTGTTTCCATGCCTGGGAAGTGGGAAGAGACGGAGGACCTTGGCCTGCAGGGCGTGGGTCTCAAATGGTTTCACCGTTTCCAAAGCGTGCTTTCTTGGACCAAACCAAGGCGGGGCCTTCCAGGATAAAATCGATTCCCACGGCTGATTTCTCACCCACTCAAGATTTTGGAATACACTTTGTTGCTCTTTGAGTTTAGGTAAAGTGCTGGAATTCACAGAAAGGGAAATGGTTATGAAGGAGTTTGTTCTGTTTGTGTAACAAGTGCAAGTTGGCTGCCTTCCTCAGAACTTCAGTTTCTTCTTCTGTAAAATGGGAAGGGGGGTGGGTGTCAGAAGGTCTCATATTTCTGGCCAGCACAGGCCTTTGTCAATCAGACACTTGATAGTTAATAACATCTGCTGTCCTAGGTGCACAGCTGTTGTGCTTGGCACTGTCCTAAGCATTTACCTGTTTCATTGTTTAATCCTTACAACCTCCTGAGGACTGTAATTATCTCCATTTTACAGATGAAGAGTCTGAGTCACAAAGAGGTTTAGTGACTTGCCTAAAGACCAAAGTTAGTGGCAAAGTTAGGGTTCACGTCTAGACTCCCAAGAGTAATCCCCTAACCAGAACATTCCATGGCATGTTGCAAATTTGGGTATAAAGGGACCACCAATGCTATGTGATTACTGCTGACTTACGATGCTGTGGAACCGGCTCCCAAACCACTGCTTTCAGCAGTATACCTGTTTGGCCCTGAACATTGCCGCAAATTAGCTTGATGTGACCAATGCAGTCACATCTGTGTGAGTTTAAGGAATGGTACAAAGGTTATTTGCAACAGAGTAAAAAAGAAGATAGAATAAAATGTCCTTTGCATAACACGAACCCAAAGTGCAGTACCGGTTTCCCCTTTGGTAGGCTGTTTAATCCAGGAGTTCATGCTTGAACATCAAAAAAATCTAGCAGGGCGGTGCCTGTGGCTCCAAGGGGTGGGGCGCCAGCCCCATATGCCAGAGGTGGTGGGTTCAAACCCAGCCCTGGCCAAAAACTGAAAAAAAAAAAAAAAATCCAGCAGAAATGTTCTCAAGTGCCAGCACTCCAAACCTTTGTTGCCACAGGATCTGATTAAGGTTTTCATCTTTTGTGCTCACATAGAGGTGAGGTTTCTGGGTCCATGTGTGCATTGAGGCCTGATGGACAAAATGTTCTATTCTCCAGAGTTAGTCCGGGGGTGTCGGCTGGAGAAACAGAGTGAATTCTTCCTGTGGCTGCTTTTCTTTATCAGATTGTGTGAAATTTTAAAAGTAACACAAAGGCTGGGTGTGGTAGCTCAAGCATTCTGTAATCTCAGCATTCTGGGAGGCTGAGCTCAGGAGTTTGAGACCAGTCTGAGCAAGAGCAAGACCCTTCCCCTCTACTAAAAATAGAAGAACTAGGGCAGTGCCTGTGGCTCAGTGGGTAGTGCGCTGGCCTCATATGCCATAGGTTGTGGGTTCAAACCCAGCCCTGGCCAAACTGCAATAAAAAAATAGCTGGGTGTTGTGGCGAGTGCCTGTAGTTCCAGCTACTCGGAGGCTGAGGCAAGAGAATCGCCTAAGCCCAGAAGTTGGAGGTTGTTGTGAGCTGTATGACACCACAGCATTCTACCGAGGGCCATGAAGTGAGGCTCTGTCTCTACAAAAAAAAAAAAA